GAGGAGGAGGAGGAGGAGGAGAAGGAGGAGGAGGAGGAGGGGAAATACTCGCAGACGAAGGAGGATGAACAAAAAAGAATTTGTAATCAGGCAGTTTCCTTCGCCTATTCCTCTATCATGAAATAACGCACTTTATACACATTATTTGCTGACGCATGTCTTAAAGGTCGAGCTAGTGTGATTGCATGTTTGCTGGATTTTTAATTTCAACTTTTATTGAATATCTGGTACATGGGTGTTAGGACCAGCTTAAGTTCCTCATGTTTTATGTATTTGGCCCAAGTCGTTGGACAGGGCAAGACTGCCTCTGGCCAGGCAGCTCGGTTTTCTCCTACTTCACTACCACCACCTTCGTGAGGCTGACAAGTGTCAGTCCGTTGAGATTTGCACATTCGACTATAACTTGCCGCATGCAAGTATGAACTTGGCACCGCCTTACTCCTTCATCTGGCCATGCTTTTGGCCAGTTAACCGACGAAGATGAGTAAACACGTCTTAGCAACGCAAGTGCTTCTTTACAGGTCCTGGAGATGCGCCCTAAAGAAAGTATTCAAACGTGACTGGCCCAAACCAACTAACGGCTCCGTCAGCCACATAAAGTTGGTGCCAACTGGTGACGCTAATCTTTCTGGGCGTAACGCGGCATGGTACAGCTCGTTGCAGATAATTTTTATCAAGTTCTGACCTGTCGAGACAGGTGCATGACTCATCTGTCAAAGGGACTCGGTGTTGGGCCTCCATTCCTCAACTATGCCTCCTTCAACTGGACCAAGGAGAGAGTGGATGGGTGGGCGAGACTCTCCAAAACAGCTTTTCTGCCAAGTAAAATTCAGGCCATTCTGGAGGGAACCAGATCAAACGACTTGCCAACTGTTCACTACTTTTCCGTACCTTGTGCAGTCAGCCTACCAGTACAACTACAAGTGCACGGAAGCAGATGAGTAGGCGAAAGGTGCACCTGATTATCTGAACGTTGAAACAGATCTTGAAAATCATGTCTGATGAGTCCTCCTCCATGCACCTAATGTTCCGAGGCTGAAATACTACTTGGCCAGTGTAAGATTCATGTTTAATGCAACCAGTTTTCGAGAGTATCTGCACTTATTTATTAGGAACTTAGTCAGCTTAGATCGGTTAGTGCAGTGGTTCCCAAACTTTTCCTAGTTGCGGCGCCCTTTTGCAATAAAAATTCTTCCATAGCGCCCTACCCTAAGTATGCTTATTTGTAAGTAAGAGATAAAAATAAATAAAACTAGTGTATCTTCATTATTGTTTTTACTTTATTAACATTACATTAATATTTAATAATTAATTTGATGAATGAGCCTGTAAATCACTGCACATTTTCTCAAATCGTGGAATTAATCTGGACACGGCCAACCATGCTGTTGTCATTAGATTCTAAATGGCGCTTCAATTTACTTAGAAGCATACACTCTGTTGACAAAAATTTCATACACCATCAATTTTTGTTGACGCAAAACCAAACTCCAAATAATTGTTATCATATTTACGATATTTTCGTTTATTCACACTAGTGCCACTGGTTAAAGGCATACTTTCCTTATCTGCGCTATTACGTTTATAACTGTTCAAAAATCGGTCCATTATCAAAGATACAAGAGCCAAAAAACACAAAATTATTTGAAATGTATTCACCCAATTTCGTTTAAGGTGATGAAGGATTGGTAGAAGAATTATTTTCCCAAAGTGATATGAGCTGAGCTAACGTTTCCATTGAATTTCACATACCTAATTCGAAAAATAAAGTATAGTAGTCGATTGTTATAGCAGATATACGTTTGCTTCATCAACAATTCCACCAAATAATATGATATAGCAAAGAGACCTGACCTTCCTTGAAATTCACTTATGCCCTGTGGCTCAAGGGTACTCGTGGCAGTGTAGTCGAGTGGTTAGCGTGTCAAGCTCCCATCCTGCCCTGTCACGGTTCGACTCCCGCTGAGGGTGTTGATAAGACCGATGCAAGTTCGAAACTGCAGTCCAATGGTGCATGGATGAGAAGTACTTTTGGGAAAGCAAGGCTATGTGAAATTCAATAAAAACTTCAGTTCAACTCATATCATTGTGGGAAAATTATTCTTCTAACAGTCCTTCATCACCTTAAACGAAATTGGGTGAATACATCTCATATTACTGATTTACTGGTAGTCACGAAACAAAATTCTTCTTCTACGATTCCTTCATCACCTTAAACGAAATTGGGTGAATACATCTCATACTACTGATTTACTGGTAGTCACGAAAACAATACGTTAATTCGAAAAACAAAATTATTTATCAAAGACAACAAACAAAAAGTGATATAACACTAAATTACAATATTAATCCATTTTTTAATTTATGTCACTGCATATATATATATGAACCGCTGAATTTAACTTCACTAGACTCAAATTATAAGTCGATTGATTGAATCAATCCGGCAACGCTTGCTTATATACTTTCCTCAAGATCTTCCAGAACATTCCAAATCTGTCGCGAAGGTTCTGCCCACCTCGACGTGTCAAGTGCGATCATATGGCGCAGTCGAGAAGACGCAGCGTTTTCTTTCATGTTTTGTTTAGTTAGGCCAAATGTCTGGGTTAAATTAATTATGAAGATTTTACAATATTTCGCGGCGTCCCTGTAAAGAGGCTGTGGCGCACAGTTTGGGAATCACTGGGTTAGTGCGTTTAAAGGACTGATAGTTGAATTTTTTCACAGTCAGATGAGTAGGCCTCAGGAGGCCATTGGAGTTATCTTAGTCTTGCCTCCTAAAATGGTAAACTGGGGCTTAGACCTCGCTGTACCGTCTCACATCCTCATCCCTAACGGGATTCGAGGATGGGTCATGAGCATTGTGGCGATGCAAGCTACTGCCCCATTATACAGACACATATGTCAATGGATCAGAGGGTAGCTGACATTCATAGCAAGTCAGAACTCTCCAAAATCCCATTTTTTATTTTGAGAATGTCGATTTAACAAATATTTACTTGTCCCGAACTCTTCACTTTTAAAGACTTACTGATAGTCTCAAAACTTACTTATAGGCGGCAACTTTGATGGAATTTGCAGATACTCGTTTGCATAAATAAAATATGTTACTATGAAGGAATGTAATTCCTCGAGAGTCCTAGCTTGCTGTGAATGTGACATCTTCCCAGTCGACCAAGCGCACCTGTGGCTGGGGAGCCGCGAAAAGGTGAGGCGAGGTCGAAACCACCATCTTGAGGCTTACACTTCTGATTGTGTGGGAAAACTCGACTATCAGTCTTTAATTAACCTTAAATGACCTGAATTGATAAGTTTATTAATCAAGAATTACTAATACTGTTGAATAATACTCATATTGAATGTTATCTTTTCTGTATAAATATGTTTCGAGACTAACATTAATTCTTGAGCCAGAATTTTTTAGCCCAGACCACTCAATTTGATTTAAGGACTGATATTGAGTTGGGACCAAGTTATCAGATATAAAAAATGAATTACTAGTCTTTAAATGACAGTAAACGAAATGGGCTGACTAGGCAC